TCTTCTTGATCTGGGGGCACAGCTTATTGACAGATCTCTTCAATTCACTTTTCTACTGAGTCTTCAAGGTAACGACCCTCGCAATATTGTCGTCACGTGGTTGACTTTCACGTTTTTGCCCAATAACCATTTGTAAGAAGGCAGATTCTCGTTCCGAATCAGGACCAGTTTACCAATCCTCAAGTTATTTGATTTGGTTGTCCATTTCGCCCTGGACTGAAGTTCACCAAGGTATTATTGCGACCACTGCTTTCAAAAAGCTGTTGCAAAAGTTGATATCTAGACAACTGTTTGAGTTCGGTCCCTTCTTTCAATTTTGGATCAGGAACTGCAGTGTGCGGGCGTCCAAGCAAAAAGTTAGCATGAATAATGGATTCAAGGTCATTTGGAACTGATGACATAGGATGTAGGGGTCGGGAGTTTAAAAGTGCTTCAACCTGAACAAGAACATTTGCAAATTCTTCGTAAGTAAGTAGTGTTGCACCAATAACCCTTGAAAGATATTTTTCAATGCCCTCAATATTAGATTCCCACAAGCCCCCAAAAGTTGGTGAATTTGGTGGGATAAAGTGCCACTATGCCTTCGTTGGCTGAAAAGGTAGTAATGTGAGCATCAGACTCCTGCAAAAATGAGTAGAATGGTTGTAGTTCCTTTTGAGTACCAATAAAGTTTGAACCATTGTTAGAATAGAGGTGAGAAGGTTTTCCACGTCTATTGACAAATCTTCTTAGAGTAGCCATGTAGCCAACTAATTCTAAATGAAATGCTTTAATACTTAAACATATAAACAAACAGATGTAAGCCTTATCAGTTTTACATCCTCGACTCTTTCGATCCTTTAAGATAAAAGGTCCAGCATAGTCAATACCGGTATGACTGAATGGAGATGAAACTGAGACCCTAGGGTTCAGGTAAATCAGCCATAAATGTTGTATGTGCCTTTGGCTTGAACTTGAAGTAGCGTATACATTTTCGAACCACGGATTTCACGAGATTAATGCCACCTGTTGGCCAGTATTGTTGCCTCACAACTGAAAGTAGTAGTTGAGGCTCGGCATGTGAAAGTTTAAGATGCTCATGTTCTACAATGAGTCGTGATAGCACATGTTTTCCATCAAGTAAGAAAGAATGCTTCTTGTCATAATGACAAGCAGAATAGCTCAAGCAGCCTCCGACCCGAAGCAATCCAAAATTATCAATGAAAGGAGCTAGAGCTTGTAATTTATGTTTCGTCTTTAAAGTTTTTCCTAATTTAATGAGAGACATTTCTTCTGAGAAAGTGTCTTGCTGTGCTAATTTCACAAGACTCAGTTCACTTTCATCTAATTCTTCTATAGACTTCCCTTTTTTTTTCTATTTGGTTCTAAACAACGCAAACTAAACAAAATACGGAACCAATAGGCGTGAACACGGACGAGTTTGATAAATTTAGAATACTTAGTAAAAATATCAAGTTGGGTTGTGGATAATCCCACAAATGCATTATTGACAACTTGTTTACTTTATGGAACGATATCAGATGAGGATATTTTGAACTCAACTAGGATAAATGACTCGCCATACAAGAAGTTTGGACCACACCACCATAACGTGTGATCAGCTAATTTAGTAGGCATTGAATCTCGAGATTCTACATCAGCTGGGTTTTTTTTTAGTTTGAACATAATGCCAATGTTCTTTATGCGTTAAACGTTGAATCTGCGATACTCGGTTCTCAACCAATACTTGAAGTGAACTAACTTCAGAATTTATCCAATGAATTTGTTATTTGTGAGTCACACCAATAAAAAACTTTGAGTTGCTACTTAAGAGAATTTAATAAAACATTTATCAATCTAGCGAGCAATAGAGCACCACATAACTCTAGCCTTGGAACAGTTAATGTCTGAGGTGCCACTTTGGTCTTGGCACAGATAAGTCGTACAGTAACATTGTTCTTTTTGTCAATTTTATTGATCTGCAATAAATTGCGGCACTGTATGCACTAAGCGAAGCATCACTAAACCCATGCAGCTCTGACTCAGTGAACTCGTTATTCGACACAAATCTTGGAATTTTCAATTCGTTCAATTGAGTTGAGACTTGAATAAGCACAATGTCAGAAATATTTTTTGGTGGACTTGCATCCCAATCGGATCAAATTTTGGCAATCTCAGAAAGAATATTTCGTTTTGTAGCATTGTTGCAGCCAGTATTTGAAATATTTTAACTTAAGATATCTAACTGAGTAAACCATAGAATTCCTAAAGTTTTAATGTTGTCAGATTTTCCCAAGGATAGCACACTCAAGAAATCTGAAGGATTTTGCAAGCTTCTGAATATTTCTTGATGTTTTCTCAGAGTGGAACCTGCAGAACTTAATATTTGCGATATTTCGTGGCAAAACTTTTCTGCCAAATTCACGTCATGAAAGGTTGTAAAAAGATCGTCAACATAGAAATCTTCTAGCATTAAGAAGCACGAGGATATACATCTTTAAAATTATGTGCTAATTCTTGCAAACATATCATGGCGAGAAAGGGGGCACTCACTGTGCCATAATTCACAGTATTAAGCTTCATGACGGAAACTGGCTTATTAAAATAACTTCTCCATTTTTTTTTTTAAATTTCGGTCCTCAGGGTGGACAATAATGCAACGATACATCTTCTCTATATCTGAAATCACAACATATGGATGAGAGCGAAAACGAAGAAGGATCTTAAAAATATCATTTTGAATTAGGGGACTAGCATACTGAATTGAATTTAATGATCTTCCTGAAGGAGTAACCGCTGAGCCATCGAAAACTACTCGCAACTTTGTAGTTTTACTGTCTTCTCGTAAAACAGTATGATGTGGAAGAAAATATGAAAGTGTTGAAGAGTTAGTATCTCTATCTAAAGACATATTATGTCCTAAACTGCGATATTCATCGATAAAAGAAACATATTGTTCCTTGAGAAGCTTTCTTTGTTTAAACGATTTTCCAAATTTAAACGTCGTTTTATTACTACTAATTTTGAATCACCCAAAATTTCTGGTGATGCTTTAAATGGAATACGCACAACAAACCTACCAGTTTTATCTCGTGACACAGTGTTTAAAACATGTTCTTAACAAATTTGGTCATCAGATGAAATTAGCTGAGAAGAAGTACAATGGCCCAAAAGTATTGTGAAGTGAATTGGTTCTGGAAAAAAAAAACACTGGGTGCTTGTCATATTTGATAAAACATTACCCGCTACGATAAAACCTAAAGTAGTAGTCTATAAAATGGGTAAGTTTTTTCCAAGAATTATTTTTTCATCAGATAACAATGTCCAAAATAAATTAGCTCCTATTAGAACATCTATAGGATTGGATAGGTGAAAGTTTGGGTCGGCAAGATCAATATTACTCGGAATATTGAGCGAATTAACATTTATGTCAAATAAAAGCAAGTTGTCTGATATTTGTGGCAAAACAAAACAAATGACATTGTAATGTCAGTTGTTGTACATCGAACTTGATAAATCAAATGTGTACCTAACTATTTCGACTTCAAGCGCTTGCACAAATTAGCGGAAATAAATCAGGATTGACTGCCACTGTCAAGAAGTGCTCTTACTTTATGAAGTTGGCCTTGGTCATCCGAAATATAAACAAGTGCAGTGGAAAGAAGAACATAAGATTTTGATTTTATATTTGAGAAATTAACAAATGACTGATTAACAACTTTGTCAGAATCATTAATAGTTTCAGCTGCTTCTTGCGCATCATGGGAAGATCTAGAAACTTTGGAAATATTTGTATCTGTATTTTTGGAGTCAACTTGTTTAGTTACAATTGCAAAATGGTTGAAAAGTAGTCTAAATCGTTTTTTTTTGCTCTTCAATTTGTGGAAAAATCACAGTGCTTGCAAAAAATGCTTGAAAAATAACTCGTGAAAATGAACAAATTGTAAAATTTGCACTGCGAAATCGTTTCACAATGGTGAAAGCAATTTTGTTGTTTAAAAAACAGAAAATGAAAAAAATCTCTTGGAAACACAAACTATAAAACAGAAAATAGCAACTATTCCTGCCGAGATCAATGCAAATTTTAAGGAAAATAATGACAATATGGAAAGGACTCACTTTTATTCATGCTGCATCAAAAAAAACCATTATCCGGTTGGAACGATCAAATGCTATGGATGAGTTGAAAACTGGTTGAAATTGATTGCAGTATTGAAACCTGATGGAGTGGACTGTATTTCTTTAATTTTATTGTTATTTGTTGTACAATAATAATTTTAATCATAAAGCTTTTACAACATACAAGTGGTTTGTGAGCAACATAAAAATAAATTTTGATACATCGGTCAAAAGGCGGTTACACACGGACGTGGATGTCTGAAAACATGTACGTACATACATGAACGCGCAAACAAAAACATCAATGTGTATGCAAAATATCGTCGCGTTTTTGAATGTGGAATCGCTAGAAATTTTGTATGCACACTCGGATTACTGTAGCAAGAATAGCAAGACTGCAGTTTTGTGCGAGCGTCTGTACAAACGCGACATGCACGTTGTTGTTTGCACGTATATGTATCAAGACATCCACGTCCGTGTGTAACCGCCTAATAAATGCGCACACTTGTCGTTGACGTACGGTTGTGTCTTTTGGAGCAGCGCATGGAAGTATTTTTATATTCGAACAGGTTCTTTCTAAAATCAACCGTTATTTAAATATTCAAGCAGATTTTTTGACGATTTTCATAAATCGGCGACATGTATTTCCAAAACTGAAAGAAATTTGGTAACAACGAAATGATATTTTTAATAAGCATGAAAAATTCTAACTTTTTTCTTATTCAACCGCCCTCGTAACTTTAGCCTTTTCTGAGATAGCAATACTGTCCCGATGAATCCGTTGGCACCCTGTATGGCATGTCTTTCTATCTTCTTGTTGAATAAATAGATGAAAATGTATGCTTCTATTTAAAGCTGATAGGGATAAGTAATTAGTATAAACATATCTTTTATTATTTTAGGTTTATGTTATGCGGAATTTGGAGCCAGAGCCCCCAGAGCTGGATCTGCCTACATCTACAGTTATGTATGTGTAGGTGAATTTATAGCCTTCGTTATAGGATGGAACCTGATTCTCGAATACGTTATTGGTACTGGATATAATTAAACAAACAACAAAAAATAATTATAAACAATGTTTAAGGGTCTGCAAGTGTTGCGCGAGGTTTGAGCCTTTACTTGGATACGCTGATAAATAACACATTGGCAAACACCTTTAAAGAAATTGCGCCAATCAATGTACCGTTTTTGTCCGCATACTTCGACTTCTTCTCCTTTGGAATATCAATCTTACTGGCCAGTAAGTTCATATTTGATTTTTATTGCAACTTAAAAAAAATAAGATAATGTATATTTTTCAGTCGGACTAGCCTTTGGACTGAAAGAGAGCAGTATGGTCAACAATGTGGTCACCTGTCTGAATATTCTTGTCGTTCTATTTATTATTATTGCTGGATCACTCAAAGGTAAGAACTCAAAGTTTACTTTGTTATATTTGCTTAAATATGTAGTTCATTTCACAAGCTGTAATAATGAAAGTGGGGCGTAAGAACGCACATATACTTCCGAGCCGTGTCTGTGAAACAAGAAGAAGATATTACTTCTGCCTACTAAAAACATCATAATAGTCAATTAACCCATTGGGGCTCAGAGTAACTCGCTTTTTTTTAAATTTTATTGTCCATATCACAGACCTCGGATAAGTCAGTATCGATAATTGAAGAAAATAGATAGATAGAGTCCCATTTGTCGGCAAATATCATGCATGCTCTTGGTCTTGGATTGATGCTTCATTTTTCATATTGAAGGAGCAGTGACTGGCAACTGTTAATTAGTCGTGCATATTCGCTCAGTAGCAGATTTGTACTTTCCGTTTGTTGAAAAAGGATCCAATAAAATACTTTTGGTCATCCGTAGTTTTCTTTTGGAAAATCAGCTGCTTGACATGAGAAAAGGTACAGTTGTAGGTAATAATATTCTGAAAGCGGATTCTTTAAACGCAGCCTGCTGGTGGTTTTCTGCCGGCTGAGGATTTTGGGGAGTTTCTGCAATTTTGGAATAATTGGATGTTCAAATAAAAACGCGATCTCTGATCTCTGCATTTCACTATACAGAGCCCAAGCTATGGATCTTTGCACTTGTCACCACCTGAATTTTCCTCACTCTCATCATCATCATTGGTTGGCAATGTAACTGTTACAACTGGGATCTTAATGGTCCTTTTGGTAATTTTCTATTTGTTTTAGAAGCTCTAGAGCTGAGGTGGCGCAGGATTTGTATCTTCAAAATTTGTTCCGGCTTTTTAGTACCTAACTATGTATTGTTGTATAAAAGAGATATTTTGACTGGATATTGGCCAACAGGCAAGTAATAAATAAAGGGGGTAGCTGGAATCAGTATTCCGAAGTTATTGATATTTTGGCATGTCGTTTGTGGATCGTCTGTGGAGTAGAATCTAAGTTTTCGACCTCGAGGACCCTGTGCTAACTTGGGGGGAAGTCGAAAGACCTAGAAATTTTCGAACTTTTTCAGTTTTTTGCTGATAACTTCTAAACCATGCGTTTTTAGTGGTATGCACTTATTTATAAAGTTGAAGAAAATTAAATTTCCTTCAAATTTAACTGGTCAAAAGTATTCTTCAACGCAATAGTAACCGAGATACAGTGATTCAAAAATACAAAAAAAAATCTCAACAACAAAAATGTCTTCTCGTCCGAACATAATTCAAACCAAGCATGGGATAAACATCTATTATCCTCGTCTCTTTCACGTGCACCATCACCATCCACCTTCCTGTATACAAAAGAGCTATTGTCGATAAGCACAGGAGCGTTGCTCCTAAAGTTGTGAACTGCCACTTAGCTCGAACTATTGGTATCACCTGTATGGAGACCTGTTTGGAGCATCTGTTTCGTGTTGTGTGGCAATTGAAGACAAAACGTTCACAATAGACCCTCTCACTCTTTTTCAACGGATTCGCATAACAAAACAATCAGATGATGACCTTAGGAACTTTTTGAACTACGAGCTAGCCCTCTTCCCGATGTCTCTCTTCACAGAGGGAGGTATGCACAAGGGCACAAAGTCAATGTTGTATCCGGCATTCACTCCTATACAAGAAGAAGATTTCGGCAGCAGCAAATGCGCAGTTATTGATGGTGGGAACCTGTTACATAAGGTTGTGTGGTGCAAATCAAGAGATACGACATTTGAATTGGTGTGCCAGAATTACGTGGATTAGATCCAAAGAAACTTCAGAAGCAATGCTATAGTGGTTTTTGATGGGTATCCTGTTGGCATAAGTTACCAAAGCACCAAAGCAGTAGAACGATATCGACGATCTTGAATAGTGAAAGTTCGTGTTTTCCAAAGTCATAGGGCAAAAACCTGCATTTTCATGCTTTTTTCGATAATCTGAGAAATTACTTGAATTTTTGAACCACTATATCTCACTAGGTAACTATTGGATCGAATACTTTTGGCCAGTGAAATTTAAAGGAAATTTGAGGTTCTTCAACTTTGTTTCAAAGTTTTATGCAAAAAACTGGAAAAATCCGATAATTTCGAGGTTTTAGTTGCGGTTAACGTGGAAAATAATTCCGATGCACAGTCGACATATATCGTTAGTGGGTGCACGTGAAAAAGATGAAAATAAAATATGTTTATCCTTTGCTTAGTTTGAATTTTGATCGGCCGGAAGAAATTTTTGACAAGTTAAGAATTATTCTGTATCTTTGAACCACTGTATCTCGGTTACTATTTCGTGAAATAATACGTTTGACTAGTGAAATTTGAAGGAAATTTAATGTTCTTCAACTTTATAACTAGGTGTATTCCGCTTAAACGCATGGTTTAGAAAATATAAGCAAAAAACTGAAAAAGTCCGAAAATTTCGTGGTTTTTCGACTCCCCCCAAGCTAGCACAGGGTCCTCGAGGTCAAAAACAGCTTTTACTCCATAGACTACCCACAAATGACATACCAAAATATTATTAACTTCGGAATACTTTCCAGCAGAAAGTACTTGCTTGCTGGACTAATAGGAGGTTTTTGATATTCAACTTCTGCTCAGTAAATTTTGGGAAAAACATGTTGTGAATGGTTAATAACTCCATGGGTCTTATCACGTAAAAACAATGTGTTTGTTTATATCCACTATCGCAGCTTATGAATGATATATAATTTTGTTGTCTATGCAAAATTGAAAAGACATCATAGTAGGTGTATGTTGTTTAAGCTATTTGTTGTTTTTTTCAGCAAATCCTGCAAATTGGCACTTCACACCGAACGCTACAACGAATACAACTATCACTGGACAGGGAGGATTTTTTCCTTGGGGAGTTGAAGGCATGATAAAAGGTAATGTTTGAAAACTGTTGCATTTGCATTAAAATTTTGAGACATAATTTTTGGTTGTATTTTTTCATCTTCTGTGCATTTATACAAAAGGAAATCTTTATAGGTGCCGCAACATGCTTCTACGGGTTCGTCGGCTTCGATTGCATAGCTACCTCAGGCGAGGAAGTGAAAAATCCCAGAAAATCCATTCCTATTTCTATCATAGTATCCCTGCTGATAATTTTTCTAGCGTATTTTGGAGTTGCTACAGTTTTAACTTTGATGATTCCGTATTTTGAACAGGTAATTATTGAATAAGCCTCAATTTATGGAAAGCTATTTAAAATAAATATATTCCAGGACTACAATGCCCCAATACCCAAAGCATTCGAAATGGTGGGATGGGAAGTAGCCAAATGGATAGTGGCTATAGGAGCGCTTTTTGGACTATGTGCTAGGTATTGTTCTGTAATTTTAGAAACGTTCCATAGTGCCTTAGAATGTATCAACATGATTGTGCAACATCTAACATACTCATAATCATAACAGAATATTTTCATATGCTTATTTTTCCAGTCTTTTCGGTGCAATGTTTCCTCTACCAAGAATTATATACGCAATGGGCACAGATGGTTTGCTTTTTAAGTTTTTAGCCAAAGTGCATCCGAAATTCCAAACGCCAGTAATTGGTACTATTTCAGCAGGAGTTTTGACAGGTGAAAACTAATTAAATATTTTATAATTACAGTTGAATTATTATCTTTTTTTTTCTTCTTTTAGGTTTGATGGCTGCACTTTTTGACTTATCTCAGCTAGTAAAAATGATGTCAATCGGAACTTTACAAGCCTATACTATAGTAGCAGCCAGTGTAATAGTTTTGAGGTATGATTTAAATGTTTAAGGCTTATTTTGCTTGAAATATGTGGGAATTTAAACTTGTGATTGTTATGGCTTAGCTTTTTAACAAAATATGTCGTATTGTCTTATTTTCCTAGATATTCGGAGGAAGTTAAAAAAGTTTATGTACCAATCAAAACGTCTTCTGATACTGAAAGTGTCAGTAGCGAGAGTAGTGTCGATGACAAGTAAGTTGGAGCTAGTGAAAATTACTAACAATTGCATGAACATGGTATTTTTCTTCCTTATGTTTAACTTATATTTGTTTTTCCTTCATCATTTTTCAGTGTAAATTATTAACGTTTTAGATGCAATGACGATGGAATAAGGCACAATTTTGATGGACCAACCGATGACGAACGGGAATTGATAAGCAATAATGGAAGAGGCTTTCGTACCTCATTGAAGTATCTTATAAATTGTACAATTACAGAACCCAATAGAATCACTGAAAATATTGTGGCCATAGAGATATTTGTTTATTGTAAGTAATTTTTATTAATGAAAATTTGCCATAATTACTTTTTGTTTTTTTTAGGCATTTTATGCACTGCTATTGGTTTGTGTGCAATTTACTTGAAAACTTATTTAGCCAACGGGGAAACTTGGGCTATAGTTACGACGTCAATTGTGGTAGGCTTGACAATATTGGTATTGTTATCACTGATGACGCAACCAAAATCTAGGAAACAATTGTCATTTAAGGTAATTTTTTATCTGACGGAATTTTGCACTCAAGTTAAAAAGTTTCCCAAAAATGTCGCTGTCTCTTCCGCAGTATCTGTTGGATCAAAATCTTATTCCATAAAATATTTGGAAAATTGCTATTGTAGAAATAAAAGTGATACAAACTTTTGGTTCACAACCGATTGTCATTAAGGTATTTATTTTAGTGCTGATTGTGCTAAAATTAACGGTATCCAGGAAAATTTACTAGGAATCCAAGTGGTATTATCATTTATTTTGTACAGATTCTGAAATCAACTTGGGCTTCTTTTGGTCGAGTCCGGTCATGCTGGTACTTCTTGGGAGTAATTTTCCAATAACTTGGATTTTATAACGGCCACCTCTCAGAGGGCAATAAGGTTTTCTTTTCAGGATTGGGTGTGTGCTTCTTATGATCCTCTATTCAAGCAGGGCAAATGTCTGAATTTGAGTTGTTTGTTTATTTTTGAAACTGCATGCCTCATGTTCAAAAAATATGAAATTCAAAATCACATGTCTCGCGCGCACCACATTCAAGTATTTTCTTGATTTATCATTCCACGTTCAGAGCAGGTCATGCTCCTTTGTTTATTCCGGCAAAAAGATCTTTGACAACTCGCTATTAGGATTTGGATGCTGCAAAACATTAGTTGAGATCATTTTTGGTGGAGCGCTCCTTTTACACTTTGGAAGATTATTTTGACGCGACCTAGCTTTGAAGTTAGACTTTTCTCTGATTATTTCTGTACTTATAGTTTTTTCTATATCTCTTGGTTTGTTTATTTATATCTATTTTATCTCAAAAACTCTTGAAGAAAAAAACACGAAACACGAATTTATTTTAAAATACAGGTTACAATTATATTGGACATTAACTTTACTAACCTAATAATGACGACTTAACTAGAGAGACTCTTTTATATTTTAAAACATGTTGATCTTGCTGTTTCTATGGGAGTGTTGCGACGATAGAGCAGTCCTTGGCGTGACAGGATAACTTGCTGAAGAAGCGTCTGGACTTTGCGATACTTTGTACGACCGTGGTGATGAGACGCGACTGGAGGTCATTGTAGTCGTGAGTAAAATCCATATAACGGCTCCCCCATTAAGTACAAAGTTGGTGCTTGACAGCAATTTTGTTTTAAAAACCAACTGGGCTGTTGTGTAGACTGGTCATCTCTTGTTCTGAGGGTAGATTTGGATGAACGGTGTTTCTTCGTTTCGGTAAAAGCTTTCTAAGGTTGTTGCCTATTTGAAGTCGTAAATGAGACTTCGGCGGTGATGGTTTGTCTCCGTCGGAAGGTGCCTTTTGTCGACACCTACAACAAATGTAAATGATTACAAGGGTTGCTATTATCACGATGATGAAGGAGGTGAACCATTGATTGTGTCGTGATACGAATGGTTCTTGGATTAGTTTATCCAGCTCATCGGAAAATTGGTTTAGTCTATGCTGTGCCCCGTTTAGATCATCAATGTTGATTTTAAGCCGCGTCCACAAGAGTAAAAATTTACGTTGTGCGTGGTATTCGGCACAAATTTGTGTGTGCGATACAAATTTATGTGAGTGTGGACCTGTTCGCCGCATACAGACGCACGCAAAAATTTTCGCGACATTCACCGCACGCGATCCGCGGCTTGTTGGTTTTTTTCAAGACATCAAAGGGATTTGCGGCGCAACATCGTTCTAGTGTGGACGCATTATTTCGTGAACGAAACAAATAACCAAAAACAAGCAACGCGCACACTGAAATAAAATAGGCACACACGCGTTGAGCAAGACGCACGGCGCACAACACAAATATTTATGTTGGTCAAGATGCGCCGGCAAACATTTTTGGCGAATCCCGAATTCAACGCAACGCATTTATTTACTAATCTGGACGCGGCTTTAGATAGTTTAAGAAGTTTCAACTCTGGCACATTCAGATTCACCGGCAGGTGTTTGCAGCAGTCATAGGGAATTTCCACTGGATGGCTTTTATAAGTGACGTTTCTGTATTTTTCCGCTAGATGCTTAGCATGAACTCTGGAGTTTCCAATGCATGTTGGTTAGAGCTTGAGCACTGTGTTGGTGTTGATTGTTTTTGTCACACTGTTTTTGCCATCACATCTGATAATGATTGGAAGGGACAATGATAATGTTATGCACCAGTAGTTTGTGTCTAGTTCTTGCACATTGTAGTCACTAGCGAGTAAGATTGAGGTTTGGCAAGTCTCGGGAAGTCTCCCTGTTGACTTCAAGAGTTGGGCTTCGCAAATGGCATCGCTGTCTATAGGGTATTGTAGAAGGTCAGAACATATCCTTGTGTTATTATCAAGAGGTTTGCAGTGATCCAGGCTTTGGAGTAATATGTACAATAAAGAATCGTCATCTCTCCCGATATATTTTTGAGTTATTGGTAAAATATAATGAAAACCTGTTCGATTATCCAAAATCAAGATAGGGTAGATGTGATAAAGAGTGTATATCTCAGGTTCGATCAGCGTTATTCTAAGAGTACAGACAATTCTACCTTCTGATTGATAAATTTCTAAATCAATTATATCCAGGTATCGTGCTATACATATGGAAGATATGTGGTAAAGGAAGATTATTTTTGGATAGAGAGAACGATATTTCCTGTTAGGAGGCGACCAAGTCTCTAGGAGTTATAATTGAGGTATGTAAAATCTTTAAACGTGCAAACGTTATTGCTTCTAGAATGTCATTAAGGGAATTTTCCAGAAAGAAGTAGCTTTCCATTATTGATACACAGAGGTTTAGAGTCCTGGTTTGGGCTTCGTAAAACTTTAAATCGTTCGAAATGTCAGATATGAATTCTCTGATTTCTGCTATATCGATGTTGAATGTTTCTTCATCGATTTGGAGTTCCTGAATAGTAGAATTAATTTTTTTTTATTACTGAGGTGGTTAAAGAAATTTGGTTTTAAGGTAAACTTTCAAATTCTCGTTCGACTGTATTAATTTTCCCAATACCGCCATCGGTGGAATCTAAGTTTCCGCAGATTGTTTTAAAGATACTTCCTATTCCGTTAATTAGTCCACGTTTGTTTCTATAGTTTGTGTCGATTTGGCTTACACTTGAAAATGTCAATTTTATGTCGTAGAGTTGGCAGAGATCTTTGAGTAAGGCGTTGTTGAATTCACTTCCACAATCACAGTGAATTCTTAAAGGTGTACCATAATGTTGGAAGAATACTAGTAGGGTGTTAACAATTGTGGACGCCTTTTTGTCTGAGATTGGGTAAGCTTGAGTGAACTTCGTAAGTTCATCCCTAACTGATAGGGCATAGTTACGAACTGGGAATTCAAAAAGGTCAATGTTTATCCTTTCAAATGGAGTTTTGGGAGTTTCAGTGATAACGAGAGGAGAACTAAGATTTTGACTTTTTGGCAGATTTCACAGGCTCTGATGAATTTCTCAACATCTTTGGTTAAACCTTGCCAGGAGTATTTGTCTTTAATCCTACGGTTTCATTGATTCCACGATGTGAATTTGTTTTTCCGGTATGATATTGGTCTAGGATAATTGGGATTTGGACAGTTTTGACGATATTTTGGCATATCTTAAGCTTAATGTCTTTTTCGGCAAATATAAAGGAAAATATTTCAAGAATAAGTAATTCCAGATTGTTTTCTATGGTTTTTCAGGGTCAAATTCGTTTTGACACTCGAAAAGCGAGTAAAAGAGAGTAGGGACTCTTTTCTCATTTTTGCAAGGAATGGGAATTATGTATTTGCGTGGCTTCACAGATTTGCTGGATGAAATGTTAACATGATTATGTTGAAAATCGAAATTTTCCTCGAATAGATAATCTATAATTTTCTAATGTAAGTCTGTTAGTTTGGTTTGCCAAAAGAATGTTACAATATTTTTGTTAGACTTGTCCAGAAGTTGTAGGTTGGAAATCTTTATCTTTGAGTAGTCAATAATTGATCTGGTTTCGTAGAGATTTACGAAGGAGTTGTATTCTTCCTTAATTAGGGTTCTTTCATCATTGTTTTCAATTTCGAAGAATGGAATTTCTTGTTGTTGTTGACTTGTAGAGGGGCGGTTTCCTATATCGTCAATATCAGGTTCTTCTTTGTTAGAAGCGAGTGTGTGAATTTTGGAGCTTAAATCTGAACAATCTTTAAAGTGGTTTACTTTTATTCGAGATCAGAAATTAGTGCGTTTTTCAATTCGTTAAATGCGGATATGCATTTTAGGTTAAAGTGAAATGGAACATCTTTCTGGAGGACTTTTGTCAAGGGCTTTGATGTTTTAGCAAAATTGGGGATAAATTGACGATAATATCCTGCTAATCCCAGAAAGGATTTATTGTCTTTTGGATTTTTGGGTGTGGGGAAGTTCTGAATACAACTAATTTGAGCAGGGTTCGGTTTTACACCGTCTTGAGTGATAAGGTGTCCCAGGTAAGTTACTTCTTTACGAAGAAACTCACATTTTTCCGGCTGGAGTTTAAGTTAGCTTTACGGAGGCGTTAAAATACTTCGGTTAGCCTTGAAATCTGTTCGTGGATGATAGGAGAGTAAACGATAATATCGTCCATGTAGACTAAGCATCTTTCGTTTTGAATGCCGAGGAGAATATTGTCCATGACTCTTTGGAATGTGGACGGGGCATTTTTCAATCCAAATGGCATACGTACGAATTCGTAATGGGCATGTTCTACGGAAAAAGCGGTTTTCGAAACATCCTTGGGGTCTACTTCTATTTGGTGGAAACCTGAGGCTAGGTCAAGGGTGGTAAAATATTGACATTTTCCCAATTGATCTAGAGGATCGGAAATATTAGGTAGCGGGTATTTGTCGTCTACAGTAAGTTCGTTAACTTTACGGTAGTCGATTACGACGCGCCATTTGGGTTTGCCAGGAGCATCAGGTTTCTTAGGAACGACCCAGACGGGAGAAGACCATGGAGATACAGAACGGCGAATTATGCCTTGGTCTACCATTTTGGTAACTTGGGATTTGACTTCTTCTTTGTGGATTTGGGGGTACCTGTAAGATTTGGTATACACAGGCTTTGCATTATTGGTGTCAATAGGGTGTTTAATTCTTACTAGTAAATGTGAGCGTGTCACCTTCCAGGTAGAAAATGTCGGAAAAGTTCAGGCATAAGTTGGTAATTAATTATTTTTCTTCGTCGTTTAAATCTTCTGTACGAAGTTCATTTTGTATGGACATTTGCCTATCATAAGTATCTTCATATTCGACGTTACAGTTGTTAAATTTTAGAATGGTTTTTTGAGTTTCACTTTCTGAAACAACTGGTTCGATAGACAAGTTTGAAAACTCCACGGTTTTTTCTATAGCGTTAATATTTACAATTGAGGTTAAAAATTCACCTTGTTCATTGACTTTTACTAAAGCATTGGCTAATTTGACTTTTTCTTTTTCTTGAGATAAGAGTAAAGCATGTGTGTTGGATAGATTACACTTGAGCTTAAAGATCTCTTCACTTCTGGCTTCTATAGATATTTTGTTAAGAATTGTTTGAGTGTTGTTTGGTTTTGGATTATCAGGGTAGTCATCTTTGGTAACTTTATGAAGAGGGTTAGTTTTGAAATTAGTTACAAGTTCTTTAGCTTTTAAATCTATCACACATTGATAATGTTCTAGGAAATCCAACCCTAAAATTCCATTGAAATCAATATTCAAGTTGTAAATATATACTTTGTGAGGATCTTGGAGGGTAAACGGTACAAGTGTTGATTCACGCATCTGGAGTTTTTGATCGGTGATACCTTGAATGATTATGTTTTCTTCGGAACGATAGGGGAATTTATGGACAGTATTTTCTTTAAAAATTGAAATGCCTGCACTTGTATCAATAAGTAATCTGAATTTATTGGAAGCATCATAAATGTAGTACAGATTTTTCGAATTAACAGTAAGAAGTGGGTTTAAAGAAATGCCTGTTCCGGAAAATTGAGGTTCGGATTCATGTTGTCTAGATTCAGAAGTTGTATTTGAGTCTCGATATTCGAAGTGTGATCTTGAGGGGTATTCTCTGGCGGATGGTGATTGGTGAAACGTACCAGAAAATCCTGATAATTTTCAGCGTTCGGATCAGTAGTGAACTGTTCAGCATATTCGCGTTCTTCATAACTAGCATCTTGTTCATAATGAGGGCTTTCAGCGTACTCAAATTCGTTGGCATATGTTTCATTAGAGGAATTATTTAAAAGGTAATTTTTTTGCTGGTTAGGGTAAAAATTGGGGTTTCTTTGAGTGGTAGTTGAAGCGTATCTTGGTACGAATTGTTTCGAAGTGGATGCATTTTGGGTTCTATTTTGCAGAACATTGGTCGTTTGTTGTTGGTTTGCAGTGCTTGAGTAGTTAGATGTTGTCGTTTTCTGGAAATTTTGATTTGGGTATTGAGTGAAGTTTGAACGACTGGAAGCTTGTTGTCCACATTGATTGGCTGTATGGCCAATTTTTCCGCAAGAAAAGCATTTTATGGATGATTGTGGTTTGTTGATCAGCCTTTTGAACAGGTGGTTTTGGAGTCTTCTGATTCTCAAAATAGGAAAGTTGTAATTCTCTCCTGATTCTATATTTAGCATCTAAAAGAGAGTGTGGGCTTCCAGCTCTGATAATCTGGCCAGGCGAGGTTCTAGGCCTGTAAGAAGAGTGTTTAGAGCCATAGATTCCACAAGGGAGGACTGTGCTTCTTTTTGATCTACTGTTTTAAGGTGTGGTGACTTTTGGATAGAAGAATGCATTTTTGCATTCAGTACTTGGAGTCTGTTGTAGAAAGTGAGGGGGGGGGGGAACTCGCCAAGTAGTTGTTTGAGTCGTTGGAGGTCATGGATAAGAGCTGAGAGGTCTCTGGAATCTCCAAAGTCTAAATTCGAAACTTGTTTGACTCCAAATAGGAATTGGGGTTCCGAGAACTTATCAGTTGACCTGCTCTACCTCTGAGCTTATTTTTAATGTGAATAACAAGTAAAACTTTTTATTGCGTGGTTGCCATATTGTAGGCACAATCGCATGCATTGATAAAGTTTCCTAAAAAGATTTGATCTCCTTCAAATTCAGGAATTATCGACAATATTTCGGAAAGTTTATATGGTTCAACTTCCACAGTGGTTTCATTCGTTTCTTTAGGCATTTTGTTGACTTAAATAAAAATATTCGAAAACAACAAAATATTTCGAAAGTAATTGATTGACAAACTTTTCAAAACATGGTTAATGGAAACGATCTATGAAAATTGGCTGGTAAATTTTAAAAATATGGTAAAATAAAACGATTTTTAAGAAAATAATTGATTGGCAGACTTTTTAAAATAGACAAAGACAAATGGTAAATGCAAAAAAAATAAATAATAGGGAATGTTTGAAAAATCGAACAGTATCATAAATTACAAAAAAAAAATAAAAAAATAAACGAGACAATTCTTCAAGTACTTACATTAAAAGGATAGGCTCCATGGAATCGTCGTGTTCACTTCGAGTTGGGATTCTTCTTTTTCTGTTTAAAGGATTAGAATCCGCCGCTATCAGGTGGAATATTCTTGTTCTGACAGCGTTGACAGATCCTACCGACTGCGCTAAATTGTTTTCTCGAAAACTCTTGAAGACTTTTTAAACAAAAACACTAATTTATTTTGAAATACAGGCTACAATTATATTGGACATTAACTTAACTAACTTAATAATGACGAATAATGACGACCTAACTAAAGAGACCTAACAGGGTCTTTTATATTTTAAAACATGGTGATCTTGCTGTTTCTATGGGAGCGTTGCGATGATGAAGCAGTTCTTGGCGTGACATGTTTAGACAGGATAACTTGCTGAAGAAGCGTCTAGGCTTTGCAATACTTTGTAAAGTCTATACGAAGTTACTTGGACCAAGCCTAAAATAGTGGTATGGTCAATATACTGGATCACATATTGAAAAATATAACAAAATTCATACTGATTGCTCCTCGTATCGTTACAATCCTGGCAAGTAGGGATGGATAGATCTGATTGGCTCCTTGTACACGCTTGTTGCCAGTCAACGTGGACTCGATAGATCTGATTGGCCATTGCCGATTCCTGATTGGCCGGCATACTGTTTCTGTTCATTCCGCTTTGTGGAACGATATGATTGTCGATGTGAGAGACAGTGCAGTGCATTACCTACTCTAGTTTGTTCGATTAGTTTATTGATTATGAATTTCAGTAGTGCCTTTTGAAATTACGCCGTCCATGTTTAACAAAGAAGAAGCCGACTTACGCCGGGATTTTTTTTAATGCTAGTCCAGGTGACTTCGTATAGACTTTACGATCCTGGTGATGAGACGCGTCTGGAGGTCATTCTGGTCGTGGAATCCATATAACATCTATACATATAGGTGTGAGTTCACCATTTCTCACCTTTCCCAGTTTATAATATTTTGCCACTTTTTTTATTATTTTTATCAAGTTTGAGTAGTTTGACATTTAAATTTTAATATCATTACATTCTTGCATTAAATTTCAATTATAAAGTAAAGGTCTTTGGTTGGTTGGGTAACAACCAAAGACCTACATATTGAATATATTATTATTATTTATCCAGCATGTCAATAAATGTATTAACATTTTGAACAATAAAGCAAGTTTTGAATTTGCATTTCGAGTTAACTAGGCACTAACTGACGGCAAAGCATTCCTGAGGTTAACAAAAAAGCAGCAAATTAAGTGATTTGAAAGTTTTTAAATTATCGTGAACTGATTTGTGTAAAAAGTCCTTGAACACTTTATTTGTCCCCCCATTAAAAGTGAGATTATGTGTGTGATGTCAGCTAGTGCCTTATTAATTTATTATATTATTATCATTTCAATTTTAAAATTTGTCGATTATTGGTAATACCTATTTATTTTCAGGTACCATGTGTGCCGCTCATTCCAGCTCTCAGTATTTTAGTAAATATATATTTGATGTTAATGTTAGACTATATGACTTGGATCAGGTTTGCTGTCTGGATGGCAGTTGGTGAGTATTCAAACCATTGTAACCACTGATCTAAAAAATAAATGGATAAACAATCATACGGCTTTATTGGCAAAATTTGTGCGAAAATTTGGGGTCAATATTCTACGAACGGAACAGCCTAAAGCCTGCGCAGTGTCTTATCTTTCGAACAACTGTTCCAAATTTTGAAGTTCCTTCATTTTCATTGGCCAGATTTTGTGCACGCACACTACATGTATCTACTGCGCACGCTCACAGCTGTCCCAGTCAGTAGTTTTTGTTTAGATTATGACCTCGTAAATTAGCAGCATTAGAAGCGTTCTTTGTTTATCCATTTATTTTTGAGATCAGTGATTGTAACTGGCTTTTTATTTGGAAAGTTCGCTGACAACGTAAGGAGACACATTTCTTGGCTTATTTTTTCTTTACTTTCTTGTACACCTGTTTCGCGAATCTTAGTCGAAGCCTAGGGATTGATTTACATTTCTAGAAAGTGACAAATTATTAGTTTGTCGAAAAAGCAAGCAAGCAAGAGGTTTTTGTTTCCTACCCTACCGCTGGGTTCTAGGGACTAGTTAATATCTCTAGAGTTAAATCAGACCTGGAAATTCAATTCGTCTTTACTTCAAGACATGCAATTACCTCTTTAGAAGCTAAAACCCAAATAATTGAGAAAACGTGTTTTTAAATATTTTTGATAATTAATTCCATCATAATTTTTAATATTAAAGTTACTGTAATTTTCTACTTGGCAAGATATAGGTATTTCAAGGAAATAATAATTATAACGAATAAGTATCTATGTTCATCAAAAAAATTATTGGCAGTCAAACAAAAACTAATTTTTATCAAAAATCGGTTTTATTTTATATGTAATTTTGGAAGCTGAAATGTTTATATTTATCCAAGGAATGTGCTCTTGCGTTGTGAAAGGATTTTTTTTGTATATATGGTGAGTAAAATTTCAAACTATGTATCTTCAGGCATCCCAATGTATTACTTTTGTACATTTATCCAAAAACCACTCAAAACTCTACAAAATCAAATTGCCACCTCCAAATATACTTCTAACCTGGCCATGGCTAATCCGGTTTTCGTAATGAATGAACCTGAAAAGAAGCAAAAAATCATCACAAAGAAGAAAGCACCAGCGCCTCCGCCGACCATTTTTGAGCAACCCGAAACTTTGGAGATGCAACAGGAAGCTGTCATTGCTCAATTGGACAAAATATTGGAAAAAGAATCAATCATTGATCAAGATGATGACATTTCAAATAATGAAACTATCAGGGTTAATGATAATAGAAAATTGTCAGCTGGTACTTTGTCCAATATGTCCGCAATGGCGTCTTCTACTGAAAGTGTGGTGGCCGATGTTCATTGTGCTAATGTTGTTAACTCTGGTTGTAATCCCAAAGGCATCCATTTTCCTATTTTGTGTAACCCTATGACTACAAGAGCAGATATCCCCGAAATTCTTAATAATGACAATGATAATAAATCACCAAAAGAAATTTTAGGATTAGACACTAAAAATTCTGATGAAGAAAAAATTGAAAATATTAATGAACTAAATTCAGAAAGAGAAGAAGCTGAGCTTGAAGTGAATAATGAGATTCAGCAAGCATCCGAAGGTGATACTCAAAAAAATTTAGAAGAAAATAAAAATAAAAATGACCAGGAGAAATTCACAGATATTAAAGAGCCTAAAAATACAGAACTCAAAGAACCTTTAACAGTTACTCTACCACCTATTGTACCGCCCGTTATTGAACCAACAAAAGTTTCTTCACCAGTTCCAACTGAAGAACTTTTAAAAACAGTAACTCTTAAACAGGTTGTGAGAGAAATTAGAAAAATTGAACCCACCTACAACCAAAACGCCTCGGAAAATAATTTGAGGGTCGGTTCTGGAGAGTATAAAAATTTTATTAGAGATTTGGAGGATAGATTAACGAGATCTTCTTCAGTGTCGCCAACGTTTTATGTAGCTCCAAAAAAAGAAGCGCTGCAAGCAAAAAAAGTTGTGCGCAACGAAAATGTTGTTGAAGAGCCTATAGATCAAGTGGAAGCTAAAAAGCGCTTAAAATTGTTTTATGCTTCCAAAACAGAAAATCCAAGGCTTTTGCTTTCTAGCAAAAGTGTGGATGCTAAAAGTAGCAATTTTCCAATAGACAATAGTTTTTCCGATCATAAGGAAAAAATGGAAAGTGTGTTCAACAGTATTAAGCTAAAACAGCTGGAAAATCTAGATGATAAAAATTCCAAACGTAAATTATCGAGATCGTTAGGTGTTGGATTTGCGAAAGAAGATCAGCAGAGTGATAATCAACAAAAAATTGCTGATCTTTTTAAGGATATTAGGGCTATGAGAAAAGAATGAGCGAAGCCATAATGAATTAAGCAATGAAATCTGATTTATCATTATTTGAAATACTCTCAAACCTGTGCCATGATTTTCTATATTTTAAAATAAGTACTCGAAATGTACCTATTTCTTCCCACTTTCCCTCTACCTACCTACTTTTTTTTTGCTTTACATGTGCTTCAGCTTATGTTAGATTATCGCTTTGTTTTTTGTTTCGCTTTTTGTTCTTATTTTATTTTATTTTGTTCTACTTATTCATCAATATTATTAATTTGAGAATTGAGAATCTCTATTTTTTTTCGAGTCAACTTCAAGAGATTTTTGCATTCCATAAGAATCTCAAACCTATGATTATTAACTCGGGACATCCATCATCAAAATAATTTTTGTTTCTCCTCACACTTATCAACTACAAGAAAATAGCCTACTAACTTTTGTAAATACATATTGGCTTTATATTTCAGCAAAATATTGTTTGATTTTTTAGGTTTTTCAGTGTATGGATTTTACGGACTTCCGAATAGTTTAAGAGGATATGTTAGAGATTACGAAAGGATTGAATGAAAACTAAATATATATATATTTTTTTTTTTGTATAAAATGAGCCTCATATAATTTATTTTGCATATGTCACATACAGTCGTGACACAGCCCCCTACATTTAACAAGCCATGAAGTTAAAAAGGCAACACCGCAATCTTACCGCCAAGTGGTGCTGGTGGTGTTTGTTTGTATAAATATATATTTTTTATTTTATTAATATGAATCACAAAAAATACATAATTTATTGTACTAAAGGGTCAAAAACAGTAATTCAATGAATAATTTAACTATTTGTGTAAATAAGAACAGTAAATAATTGATTTAAATGAATATATTTCTAGAGTCTAAAGTGTTATAGGCCTATGTTTCAGTATGTCTTTTGAAAATCTAACTTTTTCTTTCTTCGGGATTTTTTCGGAAGGCAAGTCCATTCAAATACTTGAGCTGATTTTCGAAAATAAGAGGTACCTACTTTTAAGAGTTGGACGTTTTAGTTTGAACTCTCGAACTACGCCTTTATCCTTGTTTGTTTCAAATCTAATTATTTCGGTTTCTTCAAAATGTTTACAACACACCACAGAATTTTTCGTTATTGTATAATCTCGGGTATAATTATCTTGGTGTATTGCTTTCATCCACATTTTGTGCACTTCAGAATTTTTTTGGAAATAAAAATGTTTGCATTTCTTCAGTTTTTAAGGAACTCCTAATAGTTCGATTTGCACCCAGGAACACAGTAGTTTCATGGCATCTGGAACAAGTTTAAATATCTTAGGTAATATATCGAGACCTATGCTCTTGCAGACAAATATTAATATTGTTTTACCTTACCTTACCTTTATTTTTGCTCCTGTACCCATTTGCTAAAAATTTGCAATCAAAGCACAAAGGAACAGGTATCAACTAAATATGGGCAATATATTGGTGTGTTTCTATCCACTTTTTCGTCAATAATGCCCATAAAAATACTAAATTGCAACAATACACAATGAAAGCAATACACAGAAACACATAACCCAATAACAAAATAGCACCATACGCGACGTTGCCGTCATTTCCAATTTCATGGCTTGTTAACTATAGGAGGCTGTGGTCGTGAGCATTAAAAATGGGTCACCCGATTTTTCCTATTGTAAAACGAGCTCATCAACTGTACATACGGCAATGACGAGGATTGTCATCTTCTAATATATATATAATTCTGGTATCACAGTGTTTGTAACAATATTACTCTGAAACGGCTTGACCGATTTTTATGAAATTTTATATTTATATTGGGTAGGTCTGAGAATCGGTCCTAATCTGTTTTTTATACCCCTAAGTGAAAAGGATAATCCACCTCAAAATTTTTATTTTTTATTTTTAGGACAATATTTTTTAATAGCGATATTAGCTGACCCGGGTACTGTTGTTTTCAATATAGTCGAGTTAATTATCTACTAATAAAGCTGGAAAAAAGGTATGCGCAGAAAAGACTGATTTATCCAAAATAGCGAAAAATGACAGGACCTGTCAGTCGGGTGTCCCACTTTCAATGCTCACGATCGTACATTTATAAAGAAAGTTACCTGATTAGTATTTTCACTTACCCAAAAAGGTGAGCCAAATGCATTTTTGTAAAAGTGATTCAACGAATCCTTATTTTCCTAATATAGGTATATAGTCCCCACCACAGATAATTGAAATTCCTACAAAAATATATTTCTTTGTCAATCAATTTTTTGTTTTTGTTTATATCGGGCATCGCCAACAAAGAAATCTTTTTTTGTAGGAATCTCGATTATCTGTGGCAGAGACTATACCTAGTTATTTTTTAAGAAAAGATTTAAATTATATATAATGTTTAATAAATACTAATATATTTAACTAGAATGATTATTTATTGTCTGATACATTCCCGAAAAAATAAGGATTTTTAATAAATATGTAGTGAGTTTAAAAGAAAATTGTTCTATTTACTTGTAGAATTTCATTTTAATAGCTTGTTTTTTGGGGTTTTCCTTTCAAGATGACATAGAACTTAAAGAAATAAACGATTTTTTGAAATAACATTTCCTAGAAAACTCAAAAATAAAGGATGAGATATGGTCATTTTAAATAATTTCGAAAATCAAATGAGTCCCTGTGCAAAAACTTAATTCAATACAAAACAAAGTAAAATTCTTTTTAGAATGGGCAGTAAAGTCATCAAGTCAAGAAGAAAAACCACGGTTTATTATCTGATCGGTGTGAAACTAGCAGCCGCATTTACAGCAGCCAAAGTGTGAAGTTAGCAACCAAAATGTGAAGTTAGCAGCCTGTTTAAGCAGCCATTTTAAAACTGCATGGACAATGTCATAACTAAATTATTAAAAACTTTTTTGTTTCGAAAAATATAGCTTTTTCTCCATCCACCTACGTTATTCTGAGACGCAGAGAAATCGAAAAAAAAAGTACGCCGTGAAAAATGGAGTTCCGCGATTAAATTAGGTAGTATCATTAACAATATCATAAGGAACTCCTATAACGAGTCACATCTCCTTGCACCCCGTCTATAAGATGGAGAAAACGGACTCGGTATATGTATAAGTTCTTTAGGACATCGTCAATGATACTACCCAGTTCAATCGCGCGTCTCATAATAACGCAGGTGAATGTAGAAAAACCTATATTTTTCGAAAAAAAGTTTAAAATTTAGTTATGACATTAGGTTTGTTCCAACCTGCAATAATATTACTGTAATATTATCGTCCGTAACCGCGCTAATGCGACTGCGCAATCAAAAACAGTAATATTATACTAAACAACTTAAAAACTTGTTGGAACGTTTTTTGAACTAGTAGTACTCACAACACAAGATGAAAATAACAAAATCAACATAACTTGCATACTTGCAGGTGAATCATCTTCCACAACAATAAGGAATTCTTCTAAACCTAATAATATAAGATAAAAATCAGATTTATTAACTCTGAGAACAAATAAAATAAAATTACTTAACTTCTATAGCAGTCATTTTCAAATAAATAATTTAAATAAACAAAAAACTGAGGTTCTGGGTTATGTATTATTATTTATGTTCGTTGTTGTTCAACCACTGACCCGTTTTCGACCTCACTACGCATGCGTCTAATTTTAGAACCAACAGTTCTTCCTTTCAAGCAAGAATCGTTTGAACCGTAATTTTACTATCCGTAACTCCGGTTGGAACGACGAACTGTCAATTATCGCCAATTCCAAATTAGTAATTTTAACTGGTTAGAACAGCATTTCACAATAATTGCGCATGTGTGCCAGTAATATTACTGGAAATTACTGCCGGTTGGAACAAACCTATTATTCATTCAGTCTCAAAATGTCTGCTAACAGGCTGCTAGCTTCACATTTTGCCTGCTGTAACTGGCTGCCAACTTCTCACTTTGGCTACTGTAAATACGGCTGCTACTTTCACACCGGTTATTATATGTAGGTAATTGGTTTTCAAACAGACCTAAAAAATAAACAAGAACAAAATATGAGCACCTTAATCAATGCAACTTAGTTAACCTAAAGGTTCACTCAAATTCTGGAATGTTTCCTTCTGACAACCTAAATTTAGATTCTTATAATAGAGAGTTATTGGACGTGCAATAAGGAAAAGCAGTATTTAAATTAGCCTTATTTTGACATCTACGCATGCGCATTTGGGTCCGAAAATAAGGATTCCCTTAATAGGGTCACTGCTTGTCTTAATTTGTGTATGGTTAGTGCGACGCAGTGAACTTCCCTTATTTCAAATTTCTGACATTTTGGACGACTTTGACGTTTTGCTTTTCGACGATGACGTAATTTTACTTAGAAAATTTATTTTTTACAATAGTTTTTCATTTTACTGTGGGTAACATCAAAAAATGAGTATCAGCAGAAAATCACAAACAAAAATGAACACTTTTTGAGGCTAAATTTTATAAACATAGCTATCATCTATCAAAATTATGAATGCAAAATAAGGTAATACTCTATCACCTACTACAGTCTTCCAATAACTATTTTCTTCTTGGGAAAATAGTGCTGATGCACTAATAAAATAACGTAGATCCTTAATCCTTAATACTGCGAGGCAGTATTTAATAGTTCCAATAACTATCTAATAACAATGTAACCATAATAATTATAATTAAATTTAAAAACTAGGTATCAAGAGATGAACGGGTTTGAAAGTTTATTTGTTTAAAAAATGCTTATTCTAATTTCAGCACTGAAAAATTGAAAGCCGGCACGTTTAATGTTTATTTATTTTAAGCCACCATGGTTATAAATAGATGGGATGATGATGCCCGATTTAGTATACAATACGCTTGAACTGTTCAGTTATTCCGTTGTTCTCGCCGAAGTTATCATGAACGCTTCAAAAAACCAAAAAAAATCACTATTTCATAGTCAAAAACCCTTAGAAATTAACTATCGCGTTCAAAAAGTTTTTTATTCTACTTCAAAATTAAACTGCAATGTTGTAACCAAAGAAATAATTGTACGTATAAAGTCAGACATTGGTTGTTCTGCTGATAGTGCTGTTGCTATTTGTACCAGTTACACCTCACAACACTCCTGCTGATGACTAGTATTTGGATCCTGAGGAAGAAGAAACAAACCCTATCTCAAATAGAGATATTTTAGGCTCAAGAAAACGACTTAGAAATTCTCCTCTGATAAACGAAGAAGAAGAAAATGGTGAACAAATAGTAATGCATCAACAACAAGAATCAAGTGAAAAAGAAATACCAGGACAAATTCAACAACAAGAACATGAGTATAAACATGAAGATCAACAATCACTCATAAACAGTTTATCTAGTGTAAGTAAAATTGATCCACTTTGCAATCAAACTTTTGATAAGAACGATAACAGATGTTTTAGACCTGACCTAATCAGAGATTGGACTAATATAGGATTGATTACTTTTTTTACCTGCCTATACCTTTAAGGCAAGAAGCAATGTAATTTCTCATTTATCTGAAAAATTATTTGAACAAATTATAAAAACCCTTGTTTATTAAATATATTCGAAAAAACCAATTTTACTAGTATTATAACTAGTAAAATTGGTTTTATCTACTTTGCTGTCATAAAGCCTTTGAAAAGGAACTGAATTTGGTATAATTTTATGTTTCAAATGTTATGAATTAACCTAACCAGATAATGGGCCGGGTTATGAATACAGTCATTGAACCAATGAAAGTGCTCACACTGAATATGCATAATTTTGGACTATTATTCTCCTTGGTGTTTAGGTTTAAAACAGACTGTCTATCCACAGCATTGTGAATTATACAGGTCTCGTAAGCTTTGGTCTGCATTCGAATTGTTGTATTTTAATTGAAATTATATCTAGGTACAAAAACTTTTGATAGTTTCTAAGAGTGTGAAATAACAGACATTTAAATAGATGTAGATTTTTTTGAACTTTTATATTGTCTTTTTGTTCTATGTTTGATAGTAGGGTGATGTTCCAGAAATATTTGAAGAGGCATGCAGAATTATTAAAACTGGAGGATGAATACAAAAAATGGTTGCAAATTTTTGGAAAAATTATATTACTTTTCAATAGTTACCTAGCGCTATTGAAAATTAAGCAAAATGCATTAAAAAAATGTCTGAAGCTGGTTTAGGTCTTTTGAAACATTACCATAGTTATATGAAAAATATTTATGATTTTTTTTACTTGAATCAGTAAAAATAAAATATCTAGTTTGGGAAAATATGGATTCGTGTTTTAATTATAGAATAACAAAAGGAAATGAAAAACAGCATAAAAATTTTCCTGTAAAAAATATTTTTTATTGGATAGGTAGGTATTATGGAAAGGAAGGTAGTTATTTCACTTTGCATATATTACGGACTTATCAAGTTTAGTTACCAAACAATTCCAAAACTCAAATAAAACATGTTTATGTGATTGATGTTAATTTCAGCAAATTTACGTCTAATTTTAATTTGTCAAAACATTTGATAGACTGTAAAGAAGTAAATAAAACAAGAGTTTCTTCACGAATGGATGGTGAAAACATTTTAAATTTTTAAAACTTAAGCCTTTCTGCTGCTCTAGAAGCAGACAAACGAGTATTTCGCCGCGAATTTCAGATAAACAAATACATGCTGTGGTGTTTTGCAATTTCAAAAGAAAAAAATTGATATCTTTTCTAGTGCTGAAGTTGAACAACTTGTTCGTTGAATATCTAGTTATCCATAGGTTTACGAAATCCTTAACATTTTCTTCTTTCAAACATTGGAAAAACGTCTTTTCTTTTTTTGCGGTTTTGAAGTAAAGTAGGTATATACACACCGCACAAAAATTATCGCATCACCAATGCTTTTAAATATTTTGGCTACAGTAAATTTATTTTAAAAATTTCTTAAGTATTCCCTGAATGAGCATTTTTTAACTGAAAAACTCGAGTCGAAAAACATGTCGTTTCTTCTTCTGTTAGGTTCTTGTTTACTTTTTTCGGAAAAATGCGGATAGGCATACATTCCACTTTGCAATTAGGCTGTTCATTTCTGCGTTTTCTGCTTTGATAGATGCGATAATTTTTGTGCGGTGTATATATATATATATAAAAAATAATATTAGGAATATTGGGGACTGCAGTCTTGTGAAAATTGGAAAATTCACACGTAGCATGAAATTTTCCAATTCCGCACATGATATAAGGACTTATATTTATTAACCTCACTGTAAGTAAACTCCATGTTATTATTTATGAAATTTATATTAATATTGTATTTCCATATTTTAAGGACCTGAAGAAGAATTAAAGTAATTCGAAAGCTTGTCGAAACAAAAAAGAGT